TTTTTTTTTTTTTTTTAAAAAAAGAAAATACATTTGGAACTTAGGCTATTGCTAGATTTTAAAAGAGCAACTACAAGGCTTAAGCACCAAGAATAGCTTTCTTGAGGTCCAGCTTAAAGGTTACAAGCAAAATAAAAGCACCTGGGATTAGCACAGAGGAATCCACAAGCCATAAAGAAATAAAAGGGATAAACCTAATTGCGTCTTCCTAGACATTTCCTGATCTTCTTACATATCTTAGGTTTTTAATGAGTAGTTTCTAGGTATGATACTGATGATTTTTCATACCTGGCCCAAGCTTCTTACAGCATAGTTGCTGCCTTGTCCACTTCTCCCCGGGTGAACAACAACAAACAGACAAAATGAGAGTTGTTTCAATTTTCAAAAGTTCTAGCCTTCCCATTGGCTCTTTTGGCCAGGTGCCCACTCACTTCCTTTTACCTATGAATAGCAGTGAGACTTTTTAACCCTTTACAAGTAGAATAATTAGAGAACAGCTACTAAGAGGGATTTTATAGCTATTGGCTGACTAGGTGTGCATGAAAGGGAGCTACCCTCCTCCCCCGCTTCATTTATCACACACCATAACCCAGTGTGTGGGGCATTACCCCCATAATGCCACCACCCCTCCCATTCTGAGGCTATCAAATCAAGGAGCCAAGTTTCACCACCCACACAAGAAATTGTTACTGTTGAAAGTGTGTCATTTTGTATGTGTACATGCAGAGCAAACAGTTCAGTATGTTTCCAATCCCGGAGTAGGAAATAGTGTAATGATTGCTTCAGTATACTGTATTTTACAATCTTTCAACTGCTTAATATATTTTGAAAACTGCTAAAAAGTTCCCTCCCCCCATTTTTAGGCTGTTTCATTTGATTTGGTGTTGTATGTGTGTGCCCTTCTTAACAGTCTAGTTAAAGACAAAGCTACTACCTTAGTACCCTGCTGGTGTAACATTGCTAGGTAGATCAGTGGGAAGGAAGTCCCCTGGAGTTACTAGTGTCCCACCACTTCCCACAGGCAGTGAACCACACCCAGCTTGTTCCTCTGGGTCATGCCAGGGGCAGTGAGAGATGGGCTGCTTCTCATCCCACCAGGATAATTTAGGGTGGAGTAGGTTCCCATTTTATAATAGCCCTGTCCCTAACCCCATTACCCTGTAGTGAACAGTATTCAACACCCAAGTCATTTGTGAACCTGAATCCTAGCTGCTCTCTCATTTGGGGTGTACAGCTGCACCCAAACAACCAAAATAAATAATAATAGTGGGGTCTGAATTGTTGTTAACAGAATGTCAGGTGGTGTGCATAAGGGGTGTGTGTGGGGAGGGATGAGAGAGTTTGGTTTATATAAGAAAAAAATAAAACCATACCATGCCCCAAAAAAAATGGGTTACATGATGAGATGAGCTTGAGATGCAAGACAGACAAAGCAGTTCTTAGGCAGACCAAGACCCTGCTCAGGTTTCTAATCAGAGGAGTTCAGAAAAGGCCTCGTGAAGGCATGGTGTACTATGTCTGTCTGTGCATTCTGTGTATATTTTAACATCCTATTTTCAGAGACAGGAAAACCTTTAAATGAGCCCCTTTTATTTCAATGACTGTTGTTTCTCCCTCTGATTTCAGAATGGAGAAAGGCTCGCAATAAAACAGGTAACAGAATACACATTTATTCCAGCATTAAGAAATCATTGTGTGAATACAGCAACCAAACTAGAAACATGCCAGAAAATGCTGTTATCCTGAGAACAAGTCCTGAGAGCCATGCCCAGTTTTTACACAGTCTCTACTTAGGCAAAATTGTCATGTATAGCAGGATCTGATGCTGACCTCAAACCAATTTCACACCAGTGTAACTTCATGGATCTGTGTGAAGTCACTCCTGATTTGCACAGATGTGAGATCAGAATCAGCCCTCAGTGAGAGTTAGATCTGGGTAAGGACTGAGGAAATGCTAAGTCAGGGCATCAGGATTTGGAGCAGGGTAAAAGCACAGATGAGGTGGTGATGGTGATCTATTAATCACACTAAGGAGAGTAATGATCCCAGGAGTGATGAAGGTGGGTAGTAGTGGCCAGGAGTCAAATGTGTGGGATCATGATGGCTTTTCATACTGATGAAGACAGTGGTGAAGTTAGCTCTGGCAGTTGATTTGTGATTGTGGCTGATTATGGTGATGATGGAAAAAATGAACGCGACACTGAGTGATGATCATTAAGGGGATGGTGAAAGACACAGGGTGATTCATGACAGATGAGCCTATGAGAGAGTAATTTGCATTTTTACTGTAATTTTCTTCTCATAATTTCAAACTCTTTCCAAATCTTAATCCAGCGAGATCTATCCCTCACTGAGGTTGGTATTGTACACAGTTTACAAGAGACTGCTCAATATATTTGAACAATCTCACTCAACAAGTCCGTGTCAAAGAGGGGAATAGAACTCAGGAGACCTGATACTCAATCCCTCAGTCTAGCTTCTAGACAAGACATTATTTTCATTACTAAGATAGCCCATTGAAATATTTATTGTTCAATAATGAAGACAATAGGGAAGTACAGAGATCCCACATAATAGATGCAATAATTTTCTTCTCTATGATCTGATTGTCTGTTTGGAGATTAATGTGTTTCCCAAGGCCCCAGTTCAGCATAATACTTAAACAAAGACTTTAAGCACACATAAGGGTGGCACCTCCTTATCTGAGCACATCTACTGGATCAGGCCACAAAAGCAGGTTAGGCAGGGGAGCACTTTGTGAATCTTGCTGGGGCCTGAGTGTGAGTTAGGTGCCAAGCTGCTAGGCAATGTCAGGACTTGCTTTAGGCACCTTGGGCACTTTAATTGTGGAAACCTAGGTGCTTAGGGAGTTTAGATACCTACACAGTCAGGCAACCAATTTGTGAATGCCAATGGCACCTAAAGGCTGAACTTTTTTGCCTATATCCCCCTTGTGAATGCCAGCAAATAATTCAGAATCACTTTCAGTTTTGTGTGAGCCTCACACAACTCTCATAGATTTCAGTACAAGAAAAACATTGTCAAGCAGGCTTCAATCAGACAAAACTCCCATCTGAGAAGGGAGTGCAGGATGGGGCCCACCCTGTAAACTTCCTCTTATCCCAGCTCAGACTGACATTAGACCAGTGCTTTTGAAAACCCAATCTCTCTTTGCAGATAACATCACTCTTGATGCAGGAACAGCCCACCCCAATCTCTCCATTGCTGGGGATGAGAAGAATTTTAAACATGAAGCCCAACCTCGGCAAGTTCCACCAAATCCACAGAGGTTCGATTCAACTGTCTGTGTGTTGGGGTCTGAAGGATTCTCCTCTGGAGAGCACTACTGGGAGGTGGATGTTGGGAACAGCACTGACTGGGATCTTGGTGTGGCCAGAAAATCCATACAGAGAAAAGGAAAACTGTCCTTGTCCCCTAGAGAGGGATTCTGGGTTCTGGGTCTGAGTGGGAGAGATTACTGGGCAAAAACTGATCCATGGACCCGGGTCATGGTGCAGAAAAAGCCCAAGAAAATTGGAGTTTACCTTAGTTACCAAGAGGTGACTTTTTTCAATGTAACTGACCTATCTGTGTTGTTCACATTTAATGATTGTTCATTCTCAGGAGAAGTTTATCCATTCTTTAAAAATTCCCACAAAGAAACAATAATGAGAATTTCTTCAATTAAAGAAGAGGACTAAATTTAAAATGGCTGTTATGCTCAGTTTTGCTGACCAAACTAATCCCAAAGACCCCTGATGCATCATGGCACTCTTGACCAAACCGAACCAAAGTAAGAGAATGCTTTGCAGCCAGATGAAAGGCAAAGTGGAAAATCATTGCCTGTGAAATTATAGTTACATGCATTGCTAATGCTACAGGGGTGGCTTCCCATGTAGCAGATGCAACTTTACTGGAATCCATAAAACTGAACTATCACAAACTGAGCTATTAACTAGGAATGAACTTTTTTTTAATCACTAACTACTAGTTTATCTGGATAAGGCATATTAGTAGCTAAGAGTAAGGAAATAATATTGTATATTATACAGATGTACCTGTGCTAGACTGTATAACCAATCTTCAAGTCAGGTATAAATACAGGTGAGGGATGTGTCTTCAGAATGGGCTGGC